TCCTAATGAATTGTTTGCATGAAGCTTTGGTGATGTATCAGGCAATGCTACGAAGTGGGCTTTCACCTAATGAAATCTTGGTTGTGAATTTGGTATCAGCATGTGGTCGTCTGAATGCTATCAGTGATGGTCGACAATTGCATGGAATGGTTGTTAAGAAAGGCTTTGACTGTTACAATTTCATACAGACTACTATCATCCATTTTTATGCAGCTTGTGGGATGATGGACCTTTCTTGTTTGCAATTTGAAGTGGGTGCAAAGGGTCACCTAGAATCATGGAATGCTCTTGTTTCTGGATTCATAAAAAATGGAATGATGGACCGGGCAAGGCAAATCTTTGATGAGATGCCTGAAAGAGATGTGTTTTCGTGGAGTACCATGATTTCTGGCTATGCACAAACCGACCAGTCTAGAATGGCTCTTGAACTCTTCCATAAAATGGTAGCTGGTGGGATCAAACCAAATGAAGTTACCATGGTGAGTGTATTCTCTGCAATTGCCACTTTAGGCACATTGAAGGAAGGAAGATGGGCCCATGAATACGTTTGTAATGAATCCATTCCATTGAACGACAATTTACGTGCAGCTCTAATTGACATGTATGCAAAATGTGGGAGCATCAACAGTGCCTTACAATTTTTCAATCAGATTCAAGATAAAACCTATTCTGTGTCCCCATGGAATGCCATTATATGTGGGTTAGCCTCGCATGGACATGCAAGTATGTGCCTTGAGCTTTTTTCTGATATGGAGAGGTATAATATTAAACCCAATCCAATTACATTTATAGGAGTCCTAAGTGCTTGTTGCCATGCTGGGCTGGTGGAGCCAGGGCGAAGAATATTTAGAATCATGAAGAGTGCATATAATGTGGAACCAGATATCAAGCATTATGGCTGTATGGTTGATCTTTTGGGCAGAGCCGGGCTATTAGAAGAAGCTGAGGAAATGATAAGGAGCATGCCAATGAAGGCTGACATTGTGATATGGGGAACTTTATTAGCAGCATGTAGAACTCATGGAAATGTCAATATAGGAGAGAGGGCTGCAGAGGGTTTGGCACGGTTGGCACCATCGCATGGTGGAGGTAAAGTTCTCCTATCAAACATTTATGCAGACGTGGGAAGGTGGGAGGACGTATCATTGGTTAGAAGAGTCATGCAGAATCAGAGAATGGAGAGAATGCCTGGGTGCAGTGGTGTTGTAAGGTAGCTAAGGGGTTTCAAGTCCCTTAGATTATTTTGCTAATTTTAAAGATGAAGATGCTGATCTTTCAGTATGAAATGTTTTCTGAATAATCTGGCATTCAGATTTTGTAAATTGTTCACAAATACACTGTTGTACTAGTTTTGATTTAAACTCAGTCACGACAAGTACACTCGTTCTTGGCATGCTAACAACAGTGCTTAGTGCTGTATTCTGCTCTTCGTGCTGGATCTTCAACCACATTCTTATCACCAACATCTTCACCTAAATTGGGTAATAAAAAATGTTTGGAATCCTTTATGATCTCTTATCTTATGATATGTCTGTTTTGTTATTTTGAAATGTGCATTTGATTTAAGCTTATTTTAAGAATACTTTTTCTTTTCCTCACATTTTGAAGAGAGTTCTTGAAAAAAGTGATCATTCCTTAAAAAAAAAAAAAAACTCTCCCAATCATGAAAAAATTACTCCTATTTTGATTCCATAGTTTTCAGAACTGGACTGAAAAAACTTGGAATGATTCATTCAACTGGTCCAATCAACCTGCAAAAATCAGATTTTCAAAATCTGGTATTCAGCAATGCTCCTTTCTGGATGGACGAGCGCATCTGAGAGCTCAGATCTCATAGTTGTTGGTTGGACCTCAGTCTGAGATGTAATGCATGTACAGGTTCATCCCCTTAATGTGAGATGTAATGCATTTTATATCTACTCTAATGTATTGTAATACTAGTTGAGCTAAATAAATTAATCGTTTATTGGTCATAGTTTTTCTGTTTGATAACTTCTTTTGACCATCATAAATAACAGAAAATTGTAATATCATTGCAATATAAGATTTTGATCTTATTATTTAATTGTATATATTATTACACTTTTAATTTTGTTGACTATCGTACTGTTACTTTAGAATTGATATTCAAACTGCATGGTTATTGGTTATCTTTAGTTGATTCCACCTGTATCGAGATGAATTTGCTTGTGCAATTATAGATACTGCAGAATATAAATCCGTGAATATGAAGTTAACTAGTAGGTTTTTTTTGTTAAAAGAGTTCAATTTGTACTTTTCGTTTCTATTTAATATAGGAGCATATGCGTCATTGCAGATTCGTGGATTTAAATTAAAGTCCATTATGTTATGTTTGATTTACCTGCCGACACTTCGTGGACCTCACCATGATGTCAGTAATTTAGCAACTTAAAAATGTCGGCGCCCACAACTTCCTTCCATCTGCATAATTCCTTACCAAAGTTCATTGTTCGTTAATGGCAAAAAAAAAAGCCATCATAAGGACAACAATAATTGTGGCACCACCAGTAAATGTTTAACACTTTTTTCTATTAAATGAGGGAAATGCTTTGTTTTAAAAACAAATCTGATAAAACTTACACAACATGCCCGACCCATTAATTTTAAAGGAAAATAAAATGTGCATCATGCTTTGATCAAGTTTCATCAATTGAAATGCTAAATGGCTAATACGGCACTCACTTTTCACACATGAATTCTTGATGTCATTTTGTTTGAGAGTTTGGAATGCATGAAAAACGAGTGTTAGAACATCCGTGTAACGAGCATAAGGTTAAGGAGGGGAACCATCCCTCAAAAGCCGGCCCAAGAGGTTGGAGAACCTCCCGCCTTATAAGGCCTCCCTAGTAAGGAAACCTCCCCGATGTGAGACTTGTTACATTATCACCCCCTTCGAAAGTCAGCGTCCTCGATGGCTGCACTCCACGGTACTTCACTCACCGGTACTTCACTCGGCCTTTGATGGTCAGAACCCTCCGGTGGTCAGAACCCTCCGTGGGTAGCCCTTCTCGAGTTGACTAGCTCTCAATGAAAGCACCATTATAACAAGTATAAGGCTAAGGAGGGGAACCATCCCTCAAAAGCCGGCCCAAGAGGTTGGAGAACCTCCCGCCTTATAAGGCCTCCCTGGTAAGGAGACCTCCCCGATGTGGGACTTGTTACAATCCCACTTAGAGCTTTCATCGCGATGCCCTTAATCCATACTCTTTTCAACCCAATACTCATCTTAACTCGTACACTTACAAGTAGATATGCACTATGCAGAAAACCTCTATTTAAATACGTTAGTCCCATCCATTTGTGAAGAAGACGAATTTAATCACTTTTTACTTGTTTGAGGAAAACTGTAAAATTATCTAAATGCTAATTGAACGAGTATTTTGCTTTAGATATTTACACTTTCATGTTTTTAACCATTAAAGATTTTTAAATATTTTGACTTTCTTTAAATATTTTAAGAGTAAAGAGAGGAGGATGTGGTTTGAACCCTCATTTATATATAGAGAGAGAAGAGAGTTATAATAACACTGGTGTAACTTTTATTAAGTATTACACTGCTTAATAATTTTATATTAAATATGAATTTTGTAAATTTAACCGTTAGATTGAAAGTTCTTTAGCTTTAGGTCATTTATACAAAATTTTATATTAATCCAAGATGATTTGATACTTATAAAACAAAATTGAAGTAATATATACATTTCAAAATATACTAAAATATGAACATTTTGATTATCTTTAAGTTGTTGTTCAATTTTAACAAATTTTGATATAAATATATAAAGTGATATTATGAACTTTCAATTTAATGGTTGGATTTACAAAAGTCATATTTAATATAAAGTTATTGAGCGGTGATAAAAGTTACACCGATGTTATTATAACCCTCCTTTTATATATATATATATATATATATATATTACATATTAATAATTTTTTATTTATACATTTTACATCCTTTAATTAATTATTTAAAATTTTATGCTCTCTGATCGCTAATCACTTACATATATTTATTAACTTCAATTACTTTTATCATTATTTTGTTTTTATATTTTAAAGAAATGCACATAAGTACAAGAAAAAAAATATTAGGATAATATTTATAATAACTTTTCCATTTTTTTTCAATCAACTGACCTCTTAGTTCTAGGTTTAGTGACTTGTATTTTTTCTTTATAAAACTCTCACACGCATCCTTTTTTGTCCTTGATATTTTCTTTATAATTTTTTTTTTCTTTTTCAACAAATTAGAGTACTAATATTTAATAAAAATATTGATGTAATCTTGTGACATTTTCTATTTTTTTTTCTATTTAAAATGCTATGGTGATGCTAATTTGATTGTTTAATGAACGTAAAAAAATTAACCTTAAAATATACTACTTCCTTCATTCTTTTTTTCATAGATATTTTGATATTATTTTTTTTCAATTTTTATTATCACTTTTTTAAATCAATAACTTATTAATTTTATTTTTTATTTTTATTCTTAATAATTAATATGTATTTACTAAACAGTTTATTTATTTATTTTTAATATACTTATTTCTTCTCCAATTACCTAAAAAGTATAAAAAAAAAAATAAATAATAAATATTTTTAAAAACTAAAATATCAATCATCTTCTTAATTTTTTACATAAATCTTAAATGTTAAATAAAAAAAATGGAGGGAATAATATTCTATATATTCCTTCGGTAAATAGTATTGAAAAATCTTTAAAGAAAAGTGCTGTATTTAATTCATATAAAAACCATAATAAATTATTATGAGAACTGGTGAGAAGACCCTTTACTTTTATCTGTAGAGTAGTATTTATAAATGCTTGAAAAAATAAAGTAGTAAGATTTTCATTTATTAAAAGAGCCTGGTCTAAAGCATTCAATAAATGTGATATCATGTTCTTATCCTCTGTATATATTAATATTAATATAAATATATAATATTATAATAGCATAAATTAAACTTAAACTTTTGTTACTTGTAAGTTGTAAGGTGTTTGACATAGGCTGATAGGCATAGGCATAGGCATTGGGGGTGAAGATGGTGCAACAGCAAGAGGAGAGCATGAGCAGAGGGGTGATGGTGGAGTGCAACAGCAACAGCAACAGCAACAGCAACAGCAACAGCGTGTGCAACTGCAAGCACTCTCCATCTGCCACATTGGACCTTCTCATCATGCTTCTCGTCCTCTTCTCAGGAGCATTCCTCCTCTCCTCCTATCTCTGCTACATCTTCAACGCCCTCACCCTCCTCCTCCCTTCCCTCACGCTGCCCCTCGCCTACCTCCTCCCCTTCCTCCTCTTCCTCCTCCTCCTCGCCCTCTGCTGCGCCGCCCGATCCCGCCGCTGCCAGCGCTCCGGCTGCAAGGGCCTCAAGAAGGCCATGGAGTTCGATTTGCAGATTCACCGCTTCGCCTCCCCCCACGAATTCGACAAGCTCCCCTGGAAGGGCGGCACTCAGGCCAACCCCGACTACGACTGCCTCCGCCAAGAGCTCCGCAAGATGGCTCCCCCTAACGGCCGCGCCCTCCTCCTCTTCCGCGCCCCCTGCGGCTGCCCCATCGCCAAACTCGAGGCCTCCGGTCCCAGAAAGCCCAAGCGCCACAAGAGGTCCAGATCTCTTTTCTATTATTCTTACTCTCCAAAATCAATTCACTTTACTTTAAATCATAATCAACCCTTCCAATTCTCACCTTACATATACAATACACTATGTTAAGAACCACATTAGTTACTATTTCTAACGGTGGATAGTTAGTACCAATACGATACAAATGACAATCAAGGTTGTTCAAACTATCATTCCTTTATTGTGGATCAATTGATATGAGGTTTTTTCAGCTTAACACTGATTTCGAGGTCGAATCTTGGGTATGCAATTTTGTTAAATAATCATAGGGAGAGTTTTCCCAACCTGACTTGATTAGGATTGTCTTCCGTGAATGATACATGGGGTCTATATAAATCTATGATTCAACAATTTCATTTCCTGAAACCAAGGACTCAGTCGGGTCTCAATTTCATTTCATTACACCTGGTTTAATTGCAATTCAGCTTGCAAAATTCTCTGCTTTGTGACTCTTTTCCATGCTTTTCAGTCTGCAATTCAATCTTTGATCTTGACCCGTCCTAGGTTAAATTCACCTGGCTTTTTATTCTCCTCAATTGCATTCAATAGAGCTACAAAAGAGATATCTACTTTAGACTAGATGTTTAGGACAATAAACCTACTTTGTAAATAATTGTGCAATATGATATGCTAGCTTAAACAATATATATTGGTTGCATCTTGCATAATACATTACTTAATCGACAAGTAGCCAAATAGGCCTATTGGGTGTGAGCACTTTGCACATCGGCCTTACCTGTGTGTAGCATAGGTGGATGCCATAGAATGGCTACCCATCTATGAAATGCTACTCTGGTCTCTCTGAGCCTGTTTTTGTCTGTCTCCCGTGCCTCCCCCAATCGGGAATGTTGTTGTAACCTCAAACATGAACAACTTTTTATGGAATTTTGATGTGATCGTCTCACAATTTTGAATCCTTTATGTTTTCACTAATTAAAATTATTGATGACACCAGATGCTTTGGTACAAAAGCATGGAGCCTCAACTGTGTTCCCAGTTCAATAATCACTGTTTTATGAATCTGTAAAAGCATATAATAATTTCAATTTTCAACCTGTTGTGCGTATGTAACTGACTGTCATCCGGCTATATAGTTCATCTCAATTTGTTTTCTCAACATGCATTATTTGACTTTGAACTTCGTTGGCAAGTTATTATCCGAAATATTCGTAGTGTGATTCTTTTCTGTCATAAACATTCACGTTAACTTCTGTTATGTTATCGCACGAAATCTGAAGTAGTGGACGTATTGCATTTTTTCTATTTCAGAATTTATTGGCTATCCACTAAGGTAACATTTGGCTAATATTTTTTTTGTTTCCTTTCTCCTTAAAAAGAAAAGTAAGGCTGATTACAACTTCAAAGAAACTCTAGAATATAAAGTACCTCTTTTTTTAATGAAGAAAAGGCTAAAAAACAGTTTCTACAAAAGTCAATTAGAGAAATTTCTGTAATTAAGGTGTTAATAAAATGTCGGGCCAAATGTTACCTATTTGAATTTGTTGCATACTTGAAATTTTGTTTGATGGACTTGAATAATTTTTTGAATGGTATATCTGAACTTCTGGTTTTAATGGTTTGAGCAGGACCCCACCCAGTGCGACCCTTAATGGAGGAGATCATCGTTGATTGACTCTGATGTTTTCACCGCTGGTATCTCATTTATATCATTCTCATGGTCCTTATTCACTGGAAAACTTCTGATCAGAACCATTTTTCTTAAGAAAGAAAATTGCAATCTGGTTTTAACAATCCTTCCTTATCGCTGCACTATCTAATAGTCTATAAACTTTGGAAGGATCGTACAGAATTAACTGCAATAAATATGTGATTCATCGGCGACCCAATTTATTAATTGTAGATGTCCTTTCTTAAAATTGCTGGTTCCATTGTCTCTTAAATCATTTCACCTAAACTAAGCCCTTCGGAAATACTACTACATCATGGATTGAAATAGTCGCTCAAGTCATTGATGAACTAGTTAATGGTGTGAATAACGTGATTGTACCCAATGCAGTGCGTGTTTGGTAATACGTTTGGGATCCACGTTTTCTCCTATTTTCACGTTATAACGCAGCAAAAGCAACTAATAGTTGCTTCTCAAAATCACGTCCAAGTTTTCAAACGTAAAAGCAAACAGGCTAGTAGACTTTTACATGTTTCGTTGCACCTGTGAAGCTGCCAAATGCGCATATGGATCCTACTATGCAAGAATCCGTGTGTTTTAACTTATCAAGATGGCTATTTGCTTATTTATTAATAAGAAACCCAAGTAATACATTATCAACTAATATATGTGGGTCTCACTTAATATATGGATTTCATTCTTAAATTTGTGATGTGAGTTTTAATTAATAAAAGGCAGTGTTAGTCCTAGTAGGGAAATAGATCCTATCAGGTTGAATTTCATATAATCATGTCATGTGAAAATTGTGTCTATCTCGTTTTAAAGGTACACAAATTTTAATCTAGTCCTGCCTATTTAATTTCTAAGAAGGGAGAGATACACAAATTTTCACACATGTTATCAGGTGAAAATTCAACATGAAAGGATCCATTCCTCTGTTGGTAGAGTTTTGGAGAATTAACACTTTTTTTAATCGATTTATGCATTGAACTCATCAAACAGATGGAAAAGGTTTATCTAAACTATTATTATATTTTAAAGTGAGTGAGTACAACTATATTCATGCTTGATTTAAATTGAAATGCATAATTCACTACATAAAAAACATGTAATGTTATTGTATGTTTCTAGATGATTAATAAATTATAAATCATCATTGGAAGTTTTTTAAAAGTGATTATTATAAAAATAAATTTATTATACATAATAATCTATGATTGAATGTCTATATAAAAATAATTATATAAAGTGGTCCTATATAACTTGAACAAGATTATCTCTAATGAGAAATATATGTGATCTAAGTCATAGAAAGAATGAGTATATAAAAGACTTTCTTATTGTCCCCACACATGCTCTATTTATTCAAATATAAAAACTTATTTATTGTGCCATTTACTCTCAAATAAAATTAATGGAATCTTAAAAGATTATTCTAGTGAGAAAGAATTTATTTAAAAATCTTTAGAAACATTTATACTCGACTTCTAAACGACAAAAATATTTCATTACATCGTTTTGGTTCCAAATTTTTTTAAGGAAATTTTTAATTATGACCTCTTATTTATATATATATATATATATATATATATATATATCAATTCCATTTTTTTATACTTTAGTAATTTAATTTCTGAACTCAAAGTTCTGATTACAATTTGTAAGATTTGATAGAATATTCTTTATTTCATCATATTTGAACAATCACATCATATTGAAGAGGTGAAAATATTATGATTTGTAGAATTTGAAAGAATATTCTTAATTTTTTTTATTTATTATTTACTTGTCATGAATATTATTCTTTATCAAAGTTTATATATTGATACCAATAAATTTAATGAATGATCATTAAAAAAGTTCAAGAAATGAGAGAGAATATTAATTTTTCAAATCCTCTTTTCATCTTTCAACAAAAAAAAAACATATAAATTCACAATCTTTAATAGAGAGAGACAAGATGAGAAATACGTTTATTGCTTTATAGAAAATTATAAAATATCTTATAATAAGGATCACAATTTTCTTCTACATTATGCCTTATAATAAGAATATAAGAGAATGTGTTTTAATTGGCATAATAAGAATATAAGAGAATATGTTTTAATTAAGAATTATAAATCTGTAAAGAATTTTAATGGATAAGGATTATTAAAACATGATACATATGGATAATGAAAGGGAATAGTAAACTTAACATATTTGTCCAAATATAATAAAAATATAAAGAATACTTTGTTAAATTTCACAAATTGTAAACAAATTTTTAACCTCAAGACTAAATTACAAAAATATAAAACACAAAAGACTCAATTACATATATATTTTTTTTAATTTAAAAATTTACAAAATGTTTATAAACTAAATAATGTATTAAATCAATAATTTATTTTTTTAAATTACGGTTTTGATTCCTTTATTTTAAAGTAATGATATTTAGTTTCTCTAATTTTAAAAATACAAAATTTTAGTCTTCTCGTTAAATTGATATCTACATTAATATTTCTATATGTGATATCATTAAATATTACATGAATTTAATGATCAATCAACATTAAATTGATAATAAAATTAAAATTTTATAGTTTTAAAAATAGGGATTAAATATTTATATTTGTAAAATAAAAAAATCAAAATTATAGATAAAAAAAATCACAAGTTTAAAAAAAAAAAAATAGTAGTTTAAAACCTTGTTGCGAGTTGGTATACATGTCTGCGAGTCTGAGATTAAAAACCTTGCCCCGATCTCTACCGTTTTTCTTCTTTCAGTTGAGCTTCCATCACCAAATTCGGTTCTAAGATTCCAGTTCAACCAAAACCCCTCCACACGTGCAAGACCCACATTTAGATCATAAAGTAAAGTAATTCTTTCCTACTGTTTGCACAAGTCTTCGGTGTATGTTTGTGTTAACGACTTTATTAATTATGTACTTATTCAGTGTATGTTTGGCTGAATTTATTGGCATGAGTACAAAAACATCTTATCTGGGTTCCATGTGAATCTTGAGGTGAATGCTGATGCTGACTTCAAGGCAAAACATGGATCTCTTTTATTAGATGTGATGTGAGAATGAGATAACAAAATACTACTTGGCCTAAATTTTTGAATTAATTTCATGTTATCAACTTTTTCTTATGTAACGACTATGGTTTAGAAGGGAAAATCGTAGCATTCTAGACGTGAACTTCATTCACACGATAGTGTCCGTTTTGTGATGGCGCATGCATCGGCCACGATCGATAACGTTACTCTTTTTTGGCCCACAGTTTTGACTTACTCCGCTGCTACAACGAATCTCCGGTGCCAACCATTTTTAGTACGTTTTCTCATTTCTGGAAGAAAGCAACGTTGCTTTGATGGCAAAAGAAATCTAAATACAAGTAGCTTGCAAAAATATGATATTAGTATATTTTGAAATTTTCATGAGCTATGGATAAATATGTTTTTAATTAGTTCTTCTAGAAAATTAAACAATTAAAATTCAGTTTTACTTTTCATAAAAGTTGTCCTATTTTCCATCTTTCTGATCTGAAAATCCTCTATTTTTATCATCAAATAATTATAATTCATTTAATAGTAGTTATAATTCTCTACGGGATATACTTTGAGATAAAAAAAATTATATGTTTCTAAATTGCAGGGACGAAAATAGAGCGAAAATTCTTTTGAGGATCAAAATTGGATTTGAAAAGTTTTTCTTTTTAACCAAAAATATTTTATCACATATATATTATTACCTCGAGTCTCTTTTATAAGAAAGAAATGTATTGTAAAAAGTTATATTTGTTAAAAATTGTGTTTAACCAACCTCTAATTGGATATGAAATTATGATTGAATGTATCATTTTATTATTATAGGATTAACTCGATGAGGAAAAAAAATCTTTTTATTAAAAAAATAAAAAAAATGGTATGCCGTAAGAAAAACACACAAAAGTGGTATAAATATTTATAGTACAAATATCATTCATGCATATTTATATAATTTGAAACGGCATGTCACTACCACATTAAACTTTAATTTGGTAACTTACTGACTGTTTTTAAGTGTTTTTTATTTGGTAAAGAATGAAAACTAAAACAACAGACAAATCAAGACACAGAGTCTCTTCCTAACGGTAACAGGATAAAATCAGGAGGACTCCTCCAAAATACATTGGAACTTATGTTTCAAACACCCCAATTGGCAAGCGTATGGGCTACTAAATTTATCTCTCGAGGGATATGACTGACGTAAACTACCCAGTCCCGGTCTAGCATGCACTTAATACGGCGAATAACATCATAGTGCTTATGCAGGTAGTCCCTATCCGTTGACCGATCTTGAAACAGCGTAACAGCTTCCAGGCAATCACATTCGCAACTCACCTTCCGAAACCCACCTTCCCAACAAAGTGATAATCCATCCTCCAAAGCCAACAGCTTGGCACGTAACGCATCCCCAGTTAACGCTCCACGCGAGAAACCACCCCGCCACATACCTGCCCAATCTCGAATTGCTCCACCCATCCCCATAGCAGAAATGTCACTCAACCAACTCCCATCCATGTTTAGTTTGACCCACGGATGCTCCGGAGGTCTCCATAGAGGTTGCTCCGTCCACAAGCGTCGCTTAGCATTATACACACTGTTCTCCACCATAGACTGTGTCACCTTCCGACGGACCGCCGAAATCGTCCAAAGCTCGCCGTTGAACAACATGTTATTTCTAAACCGCCAAACCCACCACAAGGTGAGGGATAGCCTAATAACATCCGTGTGCAAGATAATCCCCTTCAGCCACTGAAAACAATCCATTTCTGAGAAGGACCACCCCATACTGATCCCGCCAGCCATCAGCACCTCTCGCGAGTACGGACAATCACGAAGTGCATGTAAGATAGTTTCATGAGGGCAAGAGCAACGCGAACATGCACCGAACTCAGTGAGCCTCCTATCAGCCCGAACCTGGTTCGTTGGAAGGGCTGAATGAAGGCATTGCCACAGAAAGAACTTAACCTTCTATGGGATCAATAACTTCCAGACCTTCTTCCAAACTACATCCCCATCTGTTGACAAGACTGTGGTCAGAAAGCGATACCCAGAGGCCGCTGTATAACAACCCGAGTTAGCACCCCTCCAAACAAAGTGGTCCAGCCCCAAAGAGGAATTAACGACACTCATTCGTTGGACCGAACTTATCAGCTCCTCCGGGAGAACAGTATGCAAGTTAGTAAAGTTCCAAACTCCACTAACCCAGCAGTCGTCGACCGTTTTGTTGATGTCCGCAATGTGTACGAATGGAACTCTCCCGCACCAAAGCCCAGTACCTGACCAGTCCGTGTACCAAAGGGATGAGGCACCCGATCCTAGCTGAGGCTCGAAACCTCACAAAGAGAGGGAAGGGCCTTAACAAGACTTGACCAGATTGGAGAAGCACCCCGCCTGTTTTGAGCACACAAGATAGAGTTTCCATGTAGGTATAGACTGCTGAGGATTTGAACCCAAGGCTTCTGTGGAACCGTCAACATTTCCCAAACTAACTTCCCAAGGAGTGATACATTTACCCTTCGCGCCTCCCTAACCCCAAGACCACCAACCTCCTTGGGTTGAGTAACAACAGCCCAACTCACTGGGGACCAAAACCGAGTAGGACCAAAATCGAGTATTGTCAGATTTTGCCCAGAGCATACGACGACAAGCCTGATCAATTCTATTGCACACTGCCTGAGGAAGCCACAATGTTTGCATGCTATAAACTGGAATAGAGGAGATGGTAGACTTCACCAGGCACAACTTACCTACCTTATTAAGGAGCTTGGATTTCTAAGCCGCAAGTCTACCCTGGATCTTATCCATCACATCATAAAAATCTGAGCACCTTGGCTGACCATGAGTCATGGGAACCCCCAAATACTTCCCGATCTGAGCCGTGTGGCCAATCCCAAGCAAACCTTCCAAAGTATCGATCCTCCTCTGTGAAACCCTTCTAGAGCTCACAAACTTAGACTTAGTCAAATTAACTCTCAAGCCTGACGAACGCGAAAACTCCTCCAAGGTCGACGCCACCAACCGAGCCTGGTCCTCTGAAGCTTGACAAAACAATAAAATATCGTCAGCAAAGAGAAGATGTGAAAGCGGTAACCCCCCAGGGGATAACTGAATCGGTTTCCAATGACCCATCTGGAGCAACTCAGAGATCCTGAGGGCTAGGCGCTCCATGCAGAAAACAAACAGATACGGAGATAAGGGATCCCCCTGTCGAAGGCCACGAGACGGAGAAAAGGACGGTAATGTGCATCCATTCCAAAGGAGTGAAACTGACGAATTCTTCAACCCCCACATGATGAGTTGAGTAGTGACGGTTGGAAAGCCAAATTGCACCAGCATAGATTCCAAGAAATCCCAGTTGACCCTCTCATATGCCTTTTCAAGGTCAATTTTTAAGGCCAAGGATCCCACACCTGAACTGTCCTTCCTTACAAAATGGACGGCTTCTTGAGCAATAATACTATGGTCGCGAGTCCCCCTCCCAGGGATAAAGCTGCCCTGGAATGGGCCAATGACGTCCTGCAGGAAGGGCCTAAGTCGAGCCACAATCACTTTAGAAATAACCTTCCAGGCAACGTTACACAAGCTTATAGGACGAAATTCTTTGAGGCTAACCGGATGGTCCACCTTCGGAATTAACACCATTTGTGTCTCCAAGAGGGATATGTCCGAGAACCCCAACCGAAAGGCATCCTTCACTGCACGCCATAATTCCTCCCCCACGATAGGCCAATACTGCTTGAAAAAGAACGGTTGAAACCCATCCGACCTTGGAGCCTTGAACGACTTCATGCTCATCACCGCTCGGCGAACCTCCTCTTTCGTGACTGGGGCAGTTAAGGCAGATTGGGCCTCAACTCCCAGGCCAGGTGGCACCCCAGCATGCATGTATAGTGGCCCTTGTGCGTTGTTACTCGAGAAAAACTCCTTATAGAACCGGACTGCCTCAGTTTTCATTACCACAAGATCCGTATGCCAAGACCCATCTGGTAGAAACAACCCCTGAATTTTGTTTCTCCGTCTTCGCGTGAGTGTTTGAGCATAGAAGAAGGACGTATTAGGTCTCCAAACCTCACCCACTTTTCTCTGGATTTCTGAAACCATAGGAACTCCTCCTGAAGACAAGTTTCGTCCAACTCCACTTTTTTAAGTGTTTAAAGTTATGCCGTTTGTATTTTAAATTAATTTATATAATACGTAAATAATTAAGTCAAAGTTTCACTTACCTTTTTTTAAGCAACTCAATAGTGTATACATATTCATATATATTACTACATTTACATCTTTAGGAACATTTATTTGTATTTATTAAAATATTATTGTATATTAAATTAATAGGTTATTTTAATATTTTCTTAAAAAATATTATTATAAATTAAGTTTCACATCGAATAAAAAAATAATATATAAATGTATATTTCTTTTATCTTTAATTATTTTCTAGAATTGAAACCTCATTAGGATCCTGCGAATCCACTCTTTTTCCTATTCAAAGATCAGCCTCTTGTCTCTGTATTTTCACATCGACAATTCTTTACAGATGAAGAGATGTCAAGGAAATTTCTTACTTCCAAAACAGATCTTCCTACATCTATATATAAACACTGGTTTATCAAGAATACACAAGAAAAACATTTTGAATTGTTGATTCATTGCTAGAGATGGCTTAGAACTAATAGTTCATTATCTAATGGATTTTTCCGTTCTAATACTCTATCTAAGAGTTATACATAATTTATATGATTATAAAGTGAAACCTAAAATAAATTAACTTTGATAAATAACCTAGATTTGATGGTGACTAACTTGGGATATCTTCTCTTATTAAAAAAAATATGATATCTTAAATTTTAAAAGAGTCGTAGACAAAAGTCATAAAATATAAGTAATATTATAATTTAATTATCATTTTATAAATTTTACAAAAATGTAATAATATTATTAAATTATTCAAAATATCACTTTAATAACATTTTTAAAAATATTATCATTAATATATAAAATATTATTAAAAATCTTTAACAATATAAATTTTACCTTACATTTGATAAAATATTACAAAAATATATTAATAACATTTACTCATAATTTAATAATATTTTTTTAATATTACAAAAAAAAAATACTTTATTGCAGTACAATCGTTGGACGAGAGGCTCTTACCACATTTATTTTTTTTGGTTTTGTACCCAAGAATCAAGGATAAATCTTTCAAATTACGTATTGGATTTTATATTATAATTATTTATCAACCATCTTTATGCCTCTTAACACATTTCTTGATAACAATATTATTTCTATAACTATTTTTTATTAGATAACTTAGTTGACCATATCTTTAATAAGTTTTTCCTTTCAACATTTTTTTTATTCAATACTTAATGTGACACTTTACTTATTAGATAGCTCTTAACATAGATTACACCTATATATTTTAGTCCTTAAAACTAAAAAATTGTAAAATTAATTTTTAAAAGTGTCATTAAAATGACAATAACATTAGTTTAAGACTAAAAAGATAAGTGTTTAATTAAAGTAATAATATTAATATATTCAAAAACTAAAATAACAATAAAAATAAATTTAAGAATTTATTTAACAATTCAAAACTAATCTTATGATTTATTAATTTTAAGAATTAATGTAAAAAATTTATTATCAATTCACGTAAAGTGATAATTAACGATGTTGACTCTTAATACGTGTGACCATGTAACAACGCAAACAAAATCGAATACGTGATCACTTGTAATAAAAACCAAAGCCCCCGGTTTCCCCCCAAGTCCAGGTTTTGCAAAAGACAATAGTAGTAACTAGTAAGTACTTGGTACAAGTGAGAAGCCAAATTAAATGTACGAAGGAAATTTCTTCCACATATAAATTAACACTGAACAGTAGCTGTACATAATCATTTTTGGTATATCCTAGTACACACAACACAATCCATCAGATCAAATCATACTCCTATAAAAAAATAGTATAATCCAGAAGAACAAGTTTCCTTGAGCCAACCACATTATCAGCGGCTCAATTAATTAATGAAGCACCCCACCAAACCACGCTAATACACTGTACAGTTCACCCCACCTAACCAGTAACCACAAATCACATAAAAAATAAAAGAAAAAGTTGATATATAAATTATTAAATTCCCTAAAATATTATTTTTCACTTATCATAAACTAGTTTTAGTCGATGAAAAGTTTTTTTTATTTTTTTTATTTTTATAATTTCTATGTGGTTCCCATTGTCCAAGCAGGGCGACATCTGCTTTGAATTTGCACCCCTCTACCTTTCTATGTCAAGAGGCGAAAAGTTAGTGGCGACATGAATAAAGCTCTTGGGGTTGGCAGCTACGCTTCTCTTTTGTGACTCAACATCGTCACTTAACTTGTCGACGGTATCCAACGCAAAGTACGGTGGCTTTTGTTGTCCGTAGAACTTGACGAAAGCCAAGTAGAAAGCGACGCCGAAAGCGGTTACTCCAATGACGAACCAGCTGAAGAGGATATTGACAAGCGAGAGGGCGCGGTGGAGGGAGGCGTGGTCGGAGCAGCGCACAACCTGGTGACCCTCCTCTTGGTTGATGAAGCATCCTTTGGGGACAAGCCCCGGCGTCCAGAGCATGAGGCCCATGACGAAGAGCCAAATACCCTGAAAGAGTATGGCGAGAGAACGAAGGAAGCTGAGAAGGAAGCTGTGAGTAATGGGGATTCCGAGGAGGGTGGTGGAGAGGGAGATGAAGACGAGGAGTTGCAAGAGGGAGTGGTACTGGCCTTCGGGTCCGGTGTGGTCGGCGGAGTGGAGGTGGAAGAGGAGGAGCTGTTGGGCGAAGGCGACGGCGGCGAGGAGTTGGGTTAGGGCTTGTTTGGATGGGGGGCGGAAGTGGTCGAGGAGGAGGGCGGAGGCGGCGTAGAGGAGGAAGGCGAGGGAGATGGAGGCGTGTTCGAAGTTGTGGAGGTGGTTGGAGGGGATGGTGGCGTCGGGGTCGAAGGGCTGGTGGCGGTCGGGGCCTATGAAGAGTTCCATGGAGATTGAGGCGGTGGAGGCTGCCATGATGAGGAGGAGCTCCAGGTGCCTAAGTTTGGGGGTGGGGAACCATGGTTGGGCCGTGTAGGAGGTTGGGTTGAGGGCGTGGAGCTTTGTGTGGTTGAAGAGGTGCCATAGACCGATCAGTAGGAACGCTAACCCTGGAGCTACGTGTCCCACCAGAGTGCCCATGTTCGTGTTCTTGTCTTGGGGAGAGAGAGAGATTTATAAGGTGGACTTCAGTGTCTCTCTGGAGAGTTCTATTGTGAAGGAAGAAAGGGAGGGTTTGAAGTCCAAGAGTGGTGGCTTGGGGAACAAGGATGTTTTCCTATGAGGAATTCAGTATTCAGATGACGAATGGGGTGAGGTACCGCTGACTTTCTAGATCAATGATAAATCGAATGAATGCATACATCATACACCTTAAGAGCTTTTCTTGTGCTTATCCTTTAATTCTTAATTAACAACTAATCTGTCTCTATAAACGTATAATAAATTGTAGAAACGTGTTGCATGTTCTACTATTTGTAATGTATAATTAACTTGAATCATACTGTATGCGTTAAATGAATGCAGTAAACCGATTAAATGTGACCTTTTTTTTATCATCTATCGTATTACATACGTACGCAGAGTATTCATCGACTAAGAGTGTTTACCTCTATTAGCTAGATTAATACATGTTTGAGTTGTTGTAAATTTTACGCATCAAAAGTTCGATTATGATAAATAAATTAAAACATTTATTTTCTTGCTTTTATATTCTTTCTAAATTTATATATGAGTAAAAAAGTACTTTAATTTTTATTTTAAATATAAATAAATTTTAACTAAGTCAATTTATTTAATAATTTTAATTTAAAAATACTTCTAAGACAATAAATGATATAATTATCTACAATGAATGTAATTAAAGATATAATAAATGCAGTAGGTATTTTATATGAAATTGTGAAAATTAAATACATTTAAACTATTTTTTTTTAACTTGTGTGAAATTATTTGTTTTTATTTATATATGAGTGTAGAAGGAGTGATAAGTCTCATCTTGATTTTTTTTTTATTTTTTACACAAATTAAGAAAAATTAATATAGATAAAAAAATATATATTTTTCAAACTATCACCTTGTTATTAATCTTATTTACTAGAGATGATGCATCACAACCACAATTTTCTAAAGAGTATTATTAGGCTTATAAATGAAAAAATAAAAGAGAGAGATAATTAATGCTACAATAAAAAAATTAAAATAATACTTATTTTAATACTTAATTTTTCTTCTTCTACAATATTTATTATGTGATAGAAAAAGTATTATACTTCATAAATAAACTTAATTGATCATCTTTAATAAAATATTAGAATCTTCTTTTTCTAATATTTTCCTATTCATGATTTTTAACTTTGAAACTACTTGATAACTTCAAATCAAATTTACTTTTTTGATTGTTGGGTTCAAACTTAACCCAACCTGATCATATATGGCATGGGTTGGATAACAAATTTTGACTTTTAAATTTTATCGAACTTAATCTAACTTAGACATAACATATTGTTAAATTTATTATATATGTAATCATATTATTCAAATTAAAAATACTAAAGTGTATACCCTCACCTTAAATTATGGGTGGCAAAATAGTCATTCCACTTCATCGCTAATCTACTAGAATCAAGTAAATCCATCTTATTCCATAGAGAAAAATGAATTAAAAATTCTAACTCTACTTATTTACTTGCATGTTAGCAAGTCAACCCGTTTATCATTTAAAAATAAATTTTATTTTATTTATAGATATATTTATTTAAAAATTAAATATATTAACTTAATTTTTAAATTATAATTTATTTAGATACAATAAATTAAATAAAAAATAATGTGACTATTTGCACTTAATTAATATGCATATATAGTTATATATAATATAATATCAAACATAAGTTTAAAATGTCAAAATTAATACAACTATTTTATTTAAAATATTTCAATAAAGTGATACCTACTACAAAAAATAATATAATATAAGAATTTTTAAAAAAAAAATGAAAATAGGTTGGCAGGTTGATATGTCCCTAACATCTTGAATACACAAAAGGGTAATAGCTTATACAATATTATCTTTTTGTGCTTATTTATTTTTTTTTTTATAATTTATTACATTTTAAAATTTTATTTCTTAATTTTTTATTTATAAAATTTTATAATAAATATAGTAATATAGATATTAGTCAAACCATATATTAAAGATCGACTTAATAATGAAAGATTGAGATATTACACACATAAAATCTTATTATCTTAGGATTCAACTTTATTATTATCATTATAATTTTAATGAATTAAAAAAATATGTTAGGGAGTGTACTAAGGGGTTATCCCACACACATATTCATATTGATATGTTATTATCTACTTTAAGACTAAACTATCATAATTTTACGTTTACTACAAGAAATATTACATATAGTGACATACAAAAAGTGTCACTATAAATACAATATATGTAAGTATATGTCTATTTGACATATAGTTACACACAATTTTAGTGTTGATTTTGAATGAGATAACAACATAATTTTTGTGTCACTATAGCCTATACCTTGTAACGGATCCATAAATTTTAGATAGTGGGGGCAATAGTTATTCATATATTTGTAGTATTAAATTTTCTTACATATATAACTTTTAGAAGAGCTTGAATCTTAAAGGAGTTTTGATGATCACAACAAGTATACAACAACAACTTGGAGCACAAAAATAAAGTTAAAGAAGAGTCAAGAAAATGCTATGAAATGAAGCTATGTAATAGAGCTTAGGAAATAAATTGTTTTGAATGTGTTTTTATATTTTGTGTGCTTTGTATGCTTTGTGCATAAGCAAATCTATATCTAAACTAAGTAGAGAGTATATGATGATGAATTAAAAAGATTGGAAACTTATTTTGAGGTATAAAATGAAGTTTTAAAAAACTAACTCAAAATAATCGATTATCATTAAATATAATCGATTATTCCAGCTAATAGGCTAAGTGGAATGCCTTGCTGTAATAATCGATTATTCGCCAAAATAATCGATTATCCCAGGAACAACTCTCTGGAATAATCGATTATCCAGCTAAATAATCGATTATATTGTTCTTGGTTGATTTCCAGAAAATCTGAAGAACAAAATAATCGATTATTCTTTAAAATAATCGATTATCTGTGTCTGAAACTTTTATAAATAGTTTGAACTTTGAGAAACTTCAGACAAGGAGTTAGAACTGATAATCAATTTGTGAAAAACGTTTTTGTGAGTCTTTGTGACATCTTGGAGAGTTTTCTTTGTGAAATCCAAGAGTGAAAACGTTTGTGAAAAGCTTTGTTAGAAGATCATCATCATCATATTCTTGAAAGGGGAAGATAAAGATTTGTTCAAGAATTCCAGGTGAATTCGTTCCTTTTATTCTTTGTGAATCTTTGTGGAAAATCTTGAGAAGGGTTTCTCAAGTGGTAAGGTTTCTTGTAGTGGGTTCTACAAGGGGTGCTTTCTTGGGGTCAAGAAAGTGGTTATCTTTTAGTGTTGAAGTATATGCATGTGTGTGTGCTTGTAAACCTTCTTGCTTAAAGATAGTGGAACAAATCTTAATCAGGTGTTGATTAAGGACTGGATGTAGGTCACAAGTGGAGTGGCTGAACCAGTATAAAAGACTTGTGCAATCTTCTTCTACCTTATCTTTTACTTTGTGTAATTTCTTGGTTAAACTTTAAAGAAGATAAAACTTGATTAACAAGTGTATGTGAATCTTGATGGTTTAAATCTGTAATTGAACATTATTGTTGAACCTCATTATGTTGTAATCAAGTGAGCATATTGCATTCATATTTTCGTAACAAGTCTTTAGAAGAGCTTCATTTGGAAATTCTGTCATAGAAAAGTTTTGATTGAAATTAAGATCCAAAATACTCTGATAAATTTTTAAAGGGTCATTGAATCCAATTCACCCCCCCTCTTGGATTGTGCCATTCTTTTCTAACAACATGAGGTACTCATAGGAGTGGAAACGGGTTTAGCATCATGCATTGCTAATGAATGAAGAAGATCACGGATGTAGTGATGCTGAGTAAGGAAGAGACCTGTCTGCGTTGGAATTATTTCAACCCCAAGAAAATGACTAGGAGTGCCAAGGTCCTTAAGCGAAAATTTATCAGCCAGAGCAGATTGAAACTTAGATAAAAATTGTTTGTTGTTACCAGTAAGCAATAAGTCATCCACATATACCAGGAAGTATGCAGTAACACCATGATCGTGATAGATAAATAGGGAAGTGTCAGATTTGGAGTTGGTGAAGCCAAAGGCAAGCAGGAAGCCACGAAGTGCATTGTACCAGGCACGTGGAGCCTGTTTGAGGCCATACAGTGATTTGTGTAATTTGCAGACATGATGAGGAAGGTGTGGATGAACAAAACCAGAGGGTTGAGACATATATAGGTCCTCCAAAATGGTGTCGTGTAAGAAGGCATTATTAACGTCCATCTGCTGTAAAGCCCAGCCACGAGATAAGGCGATGCACAACACTAATTTAATGGTTTGAGGCTTTACCACTGGACTGAAGGTGTCAGTGTAATTAAGGCCAGGGCGTTGATGGAACCCTTTTGCAACCAGGCGATCTTTGTAACGGGCAACAGAGCCATCAGTTTTTTGTTTGATGCGAAAGACCCATTTATTGCCAATCACATTGAAATGAGACTCACGAGGAACCAATGACCATGTTCCATTAGCAATTAGAGCATTGAATTCCTCAGACATGGCAGATTTCCACTCCTGGTGTTTAAGAGCCTGAGTATAACATGAAGGCTCAATCGGGTCTGGAAGAGGAAACTTGGTGGCAAGATGAACCTGTTTGGGTTTGAATATACCATTTTTGGGACGAGTGATCATCGGATGAGATGAAATTGGAACGGGATCAGGGACCACCGGTGAAGGTTCTGCTGCAACAGACGGAATTGATGAATCCGTGTACAAGTCATGGGAGGGGGTAGCAGATGCGGTGGTGGTGGAGGAATCCGGGAGTGGTGAGGTTGGAGTAGAGGGTGCAGGAGCGGTGGAGGAATTCGGTGTGGTGGGATTCACGGGCTCAGGGGAGTTATGGGTGAGAGAAAGTGGTAAGATTGGGCTTGGATAAGGAGGAGTGGAGGAAGAGTAAGACGAGGATTGGACAGGGTTAGGGAAAATATTTTCTACAAATTGCACATGGAGAGAAGTGTAAAATTTTTTAGTGGAGGAGTTATAACAAATATAAGCACTTTGGGTTGGGCTATAGCCTAAAAAGATGCATGGTTGAGACTTAGGGAGAAGTTTGCTATTGGTGTAAGGGACAAGCCATGGAAAGCAAAGACAACCAAAGGTTCGGAGTTTACTGTAATTAGGCAAGCAATTAAAAAGAGTTTGAAGTGGGGTTTTCATATGGAGGCTAAGGGTGGGCATGCGGTTTATAAGATAGGCCGCGGTTTGGAAGGCATGACACCAGAATGAGAGGGGTAGGGAGGCATGATGGAGAAGACATTTGGTTGTTTCAGTTAAATGG